TATCCACCCGGACGTGTGCAATACATGCAGCAGCCAGACAGAAGTGCAGAGGTGACCTCTTTTATTACAGGTATGCCTTGACATACAAAGTGACCCTGTGCTGCCAGCACCACTTTTACAATCTGAATTCTGATTGGCTTCTGTTACAGTTCCAGGCTGTTTGCAGCAGTCTTTGTAGATGAGCCCGAAACCTGCTCATGGACATTGTATGGATACCAAATACATGTCTGTCATTAGTATGTAGATACCCTGCAGCACTACACACGTGTGCATATCTGCAGTATATGGGTACTCGTTATCATTCAGCACATGCGTGTGTTCAGTAGTGTATAGAATATTCTCATCTTCATACAAGTTTGCATATTACTATTGAACAGATACTCGGCCTCATTACACAGCGCAGCATGTTCATTGGTGATGTATAGGGATACTCAGGCCTCAAGGTCAGAACAGCGTGGAACTAAACCTACATATAGTATGCACCTGATAGATGATTTGTAATTCTGTTTGGTCGCTTCTGCAATTCACACGCTGCTATGAAGTTGATTGAACGACTTCCTGTTTCTGTTTTACAGCTTCCTGTGTCCCCTGCCTGCTCACTGGACAATAAAAGAGCAGTGTGATGATTCGGATGCACCGTCCAGTGATCTAGAGGTAACCGAGGAAGCTGCAAAGGTGAACCAGGACCTGGTTGTGTCACCTGCTTGGCTATGTAATATGTGAATCACAAGAGTGGCGGAACAGAATTAAAATTCATTTGGCAGAGAACTGTTCACATATATGGGTTCAGTCATTTCCTGGACCATACAAAGTGTCATGAAGATATGCAAAATGCAGTAACCCATAGCGACAAGATTTCACCCTTCATAAGAAAATCAGTTTTAGCTGAAAGCCGGGCTGTTGTGTAATTATAAGGTCCTTGCGCATTCTGACTTGAGTCCTTTGTGTATGTCTTCCAGATCTGTGCAGCAATCAAGCATGAAACAGTTGCTTCACTTTGCGCCTGTGCAGAGGTTTCCTGTTGTGAAGACCAGTCACTGCTGCTCTCTCCTTGTGCAGGGTGACTGGTCTGGTCTTGTCTCCGCCCCCTCCTGTAGTTATTTGTAGGCAGGATGTAGTGTCCCACCCTCAGCTCTGCAGAGGTGATGATGTCACTGCTACATTTACAAGCTAATATCTGGGTTTCAAAGGCATTTGGCGCACACCAAGCATTTTAAACCCTTTGTGGGTGATAAGGAGTATAGTTACATGAAAGCTTTTGTTCCCGGATCTCAGCTTTGAACTTAAAGATGGTTGCCAATTGGTTGCGATGGATTACTGCAAGTTCACCTTTTATAACGTAGTGCAAAAGAGTAGTGACTGTGCAAAATGCAGTAACCCATAGCAACCGGGATACCTCGTCCTGGATAGATTTTTCCAACAGCTCCTGTTCTGTGGGATCAGTCATGATTATGTGATGACAGTTATGACGGCCATCTTGTATCTAAGCTGTACAATGTTAGTTTACTATAAAAGAAGGAAAATGGTGATATGTGATTGGCTGCTATGGGTTACGACACTGTGCACCATCACAGCACTCTGCATCACCTTACTGAATAAGACCGGACAGTAAGAGGTGAATTCCAAATCTTAAAACTGAACTCCAGGCAGGTAAAACATACACACAATAATGCAGCTCTCTATTCACTGATACATCAAGGCAAGCAGTGTAAGTATCTGAATCTGACCTGGTACCTTGTAGTCCCTGCACAGCAGAGCTCAGACCTGAAGGAGAAGCAGCACAAGGAGCCAATCAGTTGTGCTAACAAGAGACACGCTGACAGGATGAGAGAGCAGAAAGACAGAGAGATGAGCTCATCAGTCAGCTGCTTCTCCTTTCACTGTCTGGTCACAGAGTGGATGAGGAACAAGACCTGTAAGTGTTACTGAACCATAGCAGAGCAAAAACAGAGCTGTATACATCTCAGAACTGGATGGACAGACATACAAATGCTTTGGCAGGTTAAACAGCTCCCCTATATGTATTCAGCCGTGTGCCGGGAGTTCAGCTTTACACAGAATAAAGTGGAATTGTCGCTCAGCACCACCAAACAGGCTGAAGCTTCTCCTTTCTATTCAGCACTAGAAAATATCTGCCACCATTCTTTTGTTCCAGCTTATACAGTCGTATGCAAATGTCTGGGGACCCCGGGTCACGACATATTATGCTGACTTTTTATTCAGTGGGGGAAACGTTACACAACCTCTGCAGGGAACAAAGATGAAGGGTATGTCCATGATTGGCAGTCAAATGGCACCAGACAACAGTGCAGGCGCCAGGTATACGGATCAGAGGACAGACTGGCTTGTTAGTTGTCTCTGATCTGCATCAATGTCGCACATACTCCCCACCCAGGGCAGGCAAAGCATGGTGGTGCTTCAGCCACCATGCCACTGCAATAAGAAATGGGATACTGATGGTGTACAATATTTTGTATATATGTATTGAATGGCCAATAAAAGTGGACTAAAGGCCACCAAACCCGGCTCAATATTCTCAATAGATTCCCCCATCCATGCGACTGTTTGGAGGGTGTTATCTGCGCCGAATTGGGTATACTAAATACATGGTGTACGAGCCTTCCTACCAGTGAAGCAGACAGAATCTGGAGCCGCTGCGCAGGGCAGTCAATCAGCTTCTCTCTTCAGCTTTGAAAATGAAAGAGAGAAGCGGATCACCGCGCTGATCTAAAAACGGAGGTTTTGGGAGTTTCTAATTGCGTTTCAGAGCTGAACAACGCGATTACATTGAAAGCTATATGGAAAAAACGCACTGATCAGCGCGGCAAAAATAGTGCAAGGAGCAGTTTGGATCGCGCGGGCATGCACAGTCGCATGTACGGTCCACATAGCAATTTATGGGATTGTTTATGTGGGCGGATCGGTGCGGCCGAACCGCCCCGGTGTAAACGGGGTCTCAGTAGACTCCCCTCTCTGGGGGAATTCATGAAAACAGTTTTCTCATGGCAACCAATCAGCTTCTCTCTTTAGTTTGTTCAGATAAGTTTGAAAATGAAAGAGGGAAGCTGGTTACTATTGGCAGTTGGTTACTATTGGCAACTGCTCCAGTTTTGATAAATTCCCCTCTGCGTATAGAACTTGATGACTCAAAGATCCTTAGGCCGCTGGAGCGGGGAGAGTCTTCTAAGAGCCGGCTCTGAGGATCATTTTTTTCCCTGGAGTTCTGCTTTAACAATTTATCTGGCTTGGTAGCAAACATCAACCAAAATGTCATTCTTATACTGTTTTGCGTGTTTTATTTTCTTGTTTGATAAACGACCTTAAATGAAATGTAAAGTGAATGTGTTCTTTGCCCATAGTAACCAATCAGCTTCCTCTTTCATTTTCAAAGCTTAACTGAACAAACTGAAAAGAGAAGCTAATTGGTTGCCATGGGCAACTGCTCCAGATCCTGTCTGCTCCCCCATGTGTTTTTTTTCTTTTCCAGTGCACTACATTCAGAAAATAAAGAACTATGAATTGAGCTTCTAGAAATGTTTCCACTTGTTCCCAGCAGAGGTTGTCTTTTTTTTTTTTGCTTGGGCTGATGTCAGACGGGTGATTTTGTTGCAGCAATTTCTTGCCAAGTCATTCATAAAGAATTTCTATGGAGTCGCTAACCCTTTAAAAGCCACACTGTCATTCAGCGATCAAGAATCAACAGCGTTCTGCATTGGCAGCAAAATCGCCATCGACCACGTCTTTTCATTCCCGTCTCTGGTTCAGCTACGACCTGGAGAGCCGATTTATATCAAAGCACAACCCAATGCTGCAGCAACAGTGTGAACAAACCTCCAGCGACTCTACTGATGAAGTCGCTAGCTGCAAATCGCTGGCGCTCCATCTCTGCTGCCAATCGCCGGTCTGACATCAGCCTTCTGAAGCCACGGAACCGTGCACTTTGATCGGGGCAGCTGAAACATTTGTATGTGCCTGTAAAAGAGCGTTTTATGTACCTGCGCACGGCTTGATGTGTTTGAAGGGAAATATGACGGGCTATGACCTGTAGTTATATAGTACAGTGTGCTTTGTTTATTACTGAGTTGCTGGCCTACCTGGTAAACAAATTCTACAATACTCTTGTCTCCACTTCATACATGTGCCTAAATCAGCATGAAAAATAAAAAATAGAAAGGGTCGGGGCAAGTGTTTCATCAGCAACACATTGCAGTGCAGAGCCTGTCGGTGTGCAAAGCTGCTCACTGCTGCCCTCTAGTGGGAGCAGATCACTGCCTCGATTTAAGTTTACAGAGCAATGTGTAGGTTTCGCTGTGTACAGAACAATGCATTGCAAGCTCCTGTTCTATCTCATCACATGACATTGGGGTCTGTAGGAGCTGAGTGTTTATCAAAACCACCATACAAATCTGCATGCTCCTTGCTCAAGGAGGAAGAGGGATGCTAAGGGTGGAGTTTGTTCCTTATTGCAATAGGTGCTACTTATACAGACAAAGGGGAGGGTGATACAAAGATGGCAGACCATCCAAAACCAGGGTGCAGTCTTTGTGCAATTGTGTAGATTTTGGGGTGCCTTATTGCCTCGGCCCATATAAGGAGAGGAAAGGGGGAGGGCTGCATAACAGGTATACCCCTTCTGAACATCTTCCACTTTGGGTCTCTTCCCCACAAAGACATGAAACAAAAAAAAAAAAAAAAAAAAAAACACTTTTTTTTAAAAAAATTATGTGAAAAACACCCGCGCGCCCCCC